TAACAAATCCATACTAGGAGTCTGTTGTGTTCAAGGTATCAAACAAACAAACGGACTACACTAGGTAATGCATCTGTTGGGACATTTCCTTCCCTGTTTTCATTTAGGTAGGACCCCCCCAAAAATGAGTTCATCTGGCATGGAATTCTGCCTTCTGAGTTTGTTTTACAATAACCAGAAAAAGCTGTAACTTCTTGGTAGTGAGATGAATGACTATTAGCATAACTATTCTCTCTTACCTTTTTAGAAAGCCATTCGAATGAAATTTTGATAATATCGTTGGGTGCTTGGAAAATCTTAGGAATAATTTTTTCAAAAGTGAGTTTTCCTTGTATGCCCCTATATGGTAATACTTTGTTTATGTTGTAATACTAGTAAGGTTTAATTTTTTTAGAAAAGCCTCTGGGTGTGCACCATATTTTTATGAGTTTCCAAGAGCAGTACTAATACCTAATGAAACCAAAGAGTGGGTAGAATTAACACATAAGAAGAAAACAAACTGGACTTGCAGATACAAAAGCATGACTAGTCCAGAGATGACCTTTTGTTCTTGTGGCAGTCCATTGCGTAATTTGAGAACATCCAGTAGGAACAGAAGCTGTGGTTAGTCTGCCATGATTATTCAGTGACACACCTCGGAGAGGTCATTTGGACCCAAGTTTTATTTATTAGCTTGGCCTATCAACTATATGTCTTAAAAAATATTTTTTTTTTACTTCTCTGAAATCTCCGTGTCCTCAACTGTAAAATGGAGCTGTTAAAACAGTTTATTTTAAAGGTTATTGTGGGGCGCTGGGTGGCTCAGTCGTTAAGCTTCTGCCTTTGGCTCAGGCCATGATCCCGGGGTCCTGGGATTGAGCCCCACATCGGGCTCCCTGCTTCGTGGGAAGCCTACTTCTCCCTCTCTCGCTTCCTCTGCTTGTATTCCCTCTCTCACTGTCTCTCTCTCTCTCTCTCACAGTCAAATAAATAAATAATATCTTTTAAAAAATAAATAAAGGTTATTATGCTGCTCTCTGAAAAGAATAGATAGGCATTGTCAGCATTGTCACTGTGACCATGCTGTCCTATGAGGCTTAAGATTTTCCCCCTTGCATCTTTTCCAGAGATTTCCTACTGTACCGGGAATAGAAAAGGACTGTCAGTCAGCACTTCCGTGTGGATTGGAATGGGTGATCTGAATCGAGGTGGAAGGGAAAGTGGAATCAGGATAATACAGGAAATAGGAACCAACCTTTTTTAAAGACTTTGTCTTTAAAAAGCTGCCTACCATCTCTGGAATTTGGACAACTTAATTACAAATATTACAGTTCCTGATTTTAAATCAGACAACAGAGATTTATACGCATTTCTTTTGCCTCCATCCATCTACCCATCTGCTCATTCAGCAAGCCAGCAACATTTACTGGGGCCCCGATAAATCCAAGCCAAAAATTGGCCAACACTGAGATTAGAGAAGGAAAACATAGTTACTATCTTTAAAGAACACAGAGCCTATGATGGTTAGATATTTCCTGCCTTTCCCAACTTTGAGGTGATAGTGTACAGACTAGAGATAATCAGATGCTGAGTGATTTGGATCCTTTTGCGAGGCCACTTCTGTCCCTTTCCTTTGGTTATTTGAAATAATTCATGGGGAAGAGAGAGACGTCAACAGAAATTAGCATGATGACCATATCTGTATCAACCTCGGCATCCTTGACTGCCAATCCGTGTCTCTGATCTCATTTTGAGTGTACTTGACCATGCTGTGAATAGCATGCATGCGCTGTGTCATGTAATCAAGGTTGCTGGTGTTCGTAGAACTGCTGCCCAACCTCGCTCACGTCAGAGCACACACAGAAAATGAAATTGTTTACGCCACACTGAGGTAAATGAACAAGGCAGCTTATCATGAGGTACCAGCCTGGGGTTTTGCTGCCCCAACCTTGTGCAGCACTGAAAAGGTGGTTGGGGCTACAGTGTGTTTGCACACCTGTGATGTGTTTGCAGCACACCTGTGCACTGTCAGCTACGTTACATTTGGAACACCCTGCATTTAATTACCCCCAGGTTGTGCCTTCTTCACTGACCCAGGGCCTTACTTAATTTTGTTTGGCCATGAACACTTTGAGCACGTTAACTATGGCGGCCGTGTGTTACGGTTTAGTAGGGAATGTATAGACTTTAGAGGATTCCAAAGAAAAATATTGGAGTAAAAACATTACTGTAGGTCGAAGACAGCTTTTCATAATGAAAATAAGCTGGCTTGGGAACTGAGAGTCCTGGACTTCCATGCTAACTTGGATCACCTTTAGCAAATCACTTCTCTCTGAACCTCAATTTCCTTATCTTTAAAATGAGGGGTTTTGAACAAGATGAACTTTAAGTCACCCTCCAGCTCTGATAGGCTGTAGTTTTGATTTATTTCTTCTTGTTTATTTTTTTTTAGAGCATGCACATGCACATGCAGGGGGAAGGGTAGAGGGAGAGGGAATCTTAAGCTGGCTCCACACTCAGCACAGAGCCCAACACAGGGCTTGATCTCACAACCCTGAGAGCCAGATGACAGAGCCGCCTGGGTGCCCCGACATCCCAGGTTCTGTAGATGCCTGTGCATCTTTGCTGTCAAGTCAGCTGCTCTTCCCTGAGCATTTGCTGTTTGGACGCTTGGTCACTGGCTTCCTGCATGTGCCCTAGGGCCAGCTTCATCGGGCTCCACTGTTTGGATGCTAGAGGAATTGAAACCTAAGTACAATGCTTGATGAAGAAAAGATGATAGAAACTTTTCGGGCATCTGAAAGGAATGAAGCTAGCTGGGATCACTGAAAGTCCTTCAGTGTCTTTTAAGTGTGGTTCAGGATTCCCATTTAGCTAAATGCCTTGCTTGATTAAAACTGGCAACCCTGACAGCCTGAACCTCTTGGGATGAGTTTTCCTAACTTTCACTTCCAGAAAGACTGCTCAGATACATGAACCATGTAAGCATGTATGCAGAAACCAAATATCAGTTGTTCAACTTGTGAAAGAAAAATCCCATTAGGAAATTTCTTTTTCTGTATTTATCTAAGTCCTTTCTGTTTCGCATGTGTTGGGTGGGATGAGGCTGCCTGGCCGGAGAGCAGCAGAGAAGACTTATAGGAATGCATAGATAATCAGGAACTAGCCACATTATGGTGATGGTAGTGATGGTAGTCCGCCATGATTGTAGACTAAAATGGTAGCATTTGTTCATTCCACGGAGGTTTCATTGTTCATTTACCATGTGTCAGAAATTCTCTAGGAGCTAGAAAAAAAATATGAGAGATCACTGATATAGTCAGACAAAGCCACATTAATGATACATTGTTAACCTTAGACTTTTTTTAATAAACACATCAGTAACTGATTTGTGATGTTCAAAATTCTCTCTTGCTACTGTCCATTAGCATACACTTATTGAGTTATGTATCAGATACACTAAAAAGGGCAAAACTAAATAATGCATTCACGTATCAAAAAATACTTCTAAGTAGGAGTGCCTGGGTGGTGTAGTCATTTAAGCATCTGATGTGTTTTTGGCTCACGTCTTGATCTCAGGGTTGTGAGGTTGAGCCCCACGTCAGGCTCCGTGCTCATTGGGGAGTCTCTCCCTCTCCCTCTGCCCCTCCCCACTAAAATAAATAAATCCTTTTAAAAAATACTTCAAAGTATATAAAAATTCACCTAATAATATACCCTGTAGGAAACATAATGTTTCAGATACACTGCAGAGAGGATCCTCATGCACATATGTGTGTATTATGTAGTGTATGTATGTATATTATGTAATTACGTAGATGATACATGTTCAAAAAGGATACTTGAACCTAGAGGGTAAATAAAGAAGCCTGGGTTTATGTCAGCACACATGTGTGTTTGTATCTATGGGGTGAGGAGGAGATTAGGAAGGAAAGAAGGGAGGGACAGAGTAGAAGAAGAGAAGCAAGGGAAAAATAGTCAATGGCCTTAGAAGAAACCACAGGAGTTAGTAAATTTTACCTTAACTCCCACCAACCCATCTATCTTTCCTCTACTGAGCAGCAGCTAGTGTACCATTATTCATTCTATCAACAGATATATCATCGGAATTAAGTTGACCACTACCCAAATCAAACAAAATAAAGAAAGAATAATTTCAGTTTAAAAAAAATGTAAAAATATCCAGACATTAGTTGTACTTATGTACTCCACAACTATGATAAAGAAAACTTACCGAAAGTCCTTCAAAGCAGAAAAAAAATTAAAATCTCAGGGAATTTTTTCCTTTCCTGGCCAGAATCTCATTCCAAGAAGTACCAGCCTGTCTCATTTCAAAATGTTTCCCTTGCCAAGGAAGCGGAAGCGGTCATATTCTTTCCCACCGAACTATGGGTGAATTATAATTATCCTACCTCCTGTGGGACAATGAAGCAGCAAACATCTGCTATACTGAATCAGAAACCCACGAGTGAAACTATACTAAACTGTGAATCATACCTGGACTCAGATGAAAGGTTTTGTGTTGTGTTTACCTTTTTCTTTATTTTCTTTGCCATTTAAAATATGGACTTGTTAGCTCTGGCTCCATGTTCTGAGGGAAAGTAGATAGATTCCATTCATTGACTCTGACTTTAACAATGAAAATCCCCAGCTTTAAGTTAGTACCTGGGCAATAATGATAAACAGTTTTCTCTGTTTGATTTGTTATTATCCCCTAAAAGGATGGTACAATTAAGAAAATTTGGTACACAGTCTAAGAAGTAAAATCCCTTAGTTTTTTCACTGTAATGACAATAACAGAGAAGAAAATGGCATTCTAAACTTCACTTCCAAAAGACTCAAGTTGCAAAACTACTGTTACTTATCATAATTTCAAGTTTCATGATTTTTATGGTAGTACAAAACTGTTTACTAAAGTCAGGAAAGGAAAATGGAATTTCAATTCTGCATTTTAGTCACAAAGACATAGGTAATGGTCTACTTACTCTGAAATATTGTTTGTGTGTCTTTTTATCTATCAGAGAGCAGAAAGACAAACTCGAATTATGGATTCAGCCCAATATGCAGAATTCTGTGAAAGTCGACAATTAAGTTTCTGTAAGTAAATGTTTAATTTTGCTTCATTATATGTTAAGAGATCACGTGTTACAGATATACAAAAGTATGGCACAATTTCCGTTCCTTAGAAATGGGTGAATTTAACATATGCATAGTTATAACTGTTAGAAACAGCCCCTACATTGTAGGGAACTCTACAAAAGATTTTACCCCACTCTACTGTTTTATAATGAATAATCTAAAGAGGTTTTAAAGTAAGACACAGAAAGCCATGTTAATTATTTGCATTACTTTTAGTCCAAATACTTCCATTTTCTTTAACATTCTCATTTTATTTTCCAGTTTCTTCATCCTGTTGACACTAGTATGGCTGATTGTTCTTGACCCCTAATGGACTTTAGTAGCACAGTTGTGACATTTAAAAACCCCCAGTATTAATAAATACCAAGCTTTCCATTTATTTATGCATACTCATATTACCACAAGGAAACGTATCAATAGTCTCTTCCATTTTTGTCTGTAACCTCCTACTGTGACAAGCATTCAGTGTTAGCCAAATTCATCAGTCTGTAATATTCATCAGCTCTTGTAACACTAATAACCTAGTGATAAAATTAGGACTGTCCCATCACTGCACAGAGGCTTACTAAAAGTGCGTAAAGGCTTGTGATAAATAGTGGGCTCGATTGTGTAGCGAACATCCTTACCACAACAGTTCAATGATGACTAAGCCTCTGAGGGGAAAGGTCAAAGAGCAAGTGTGGTGAGAAGTCCAGTGAAAAATCTGACAGAAAAGCACATGACCCTGGTCTGAGGGATGATAGACACAATGGTGTCTTTAAATGGAGAAACTGTTCTGTGGTCATAATCACAATGTATTTGATTTGAAAAAAGAAAATGAGAGCTTCATTTATAGATCATAAAGTGCAAATAAATGACACATTTCAAATAGTGCCCCATGTAAACATGTTTTGGAAGCCTTTTTTCCTAACTAAATATACTTTGCAGTCTGACTAACAATTTGGCATCGTACATCTGCGAAGCATTAAGTAAATGACACTTCAGATCATGGCAATTTCAGCAAATGAGAGGTTTTTGTATTGTAATTTTTAGGTTTAAAAATGGCATTCAAGTCTTTTATAAGTATAAATCTCCAGTTTATAAAGTAACATTTAGTGCTATTCAACTATTTTTTAAAATCACATTTTAAATGTAATTCACTTAAAGGAACAGAAGTGCTGTTTTCACACTAAAATGTATAGTCACTGAAAGGTCCTAATACATCTTGTGTTCGAAAATCACATTTTTAACAACTCAATTTTTTGTTTATAACTCAGTAATAAAATGTAATAAATTAAAAATTAATACTTCCCCTTTCTATATAAAATAATTATAGTTTAAACAGTATATTTATGCTTACTTTTTTTTTAAAGAAGAGAGATTTGGGCATTTAAAAATATTTTTTTGTCTGACGCCCATACGTGCTTCATTATGAAACCCGAGTGGCAGAATCTGTTTTATATGCCAAAATGTTGTGGTTGGGAATGCTTAATCCAAGTGGGTCAGCAAATTCAGAACTAATACCCACAACTGGTCAGAATGTTAGGCTCTTTTCATTTCTCCCCTTCTGATAAATTACCAGGGTATAGGAATGACGATCCAGCTGTATATATCTTCTTAAATATTTGATCATAGCATTCACTGATTGGGACTACTGATGCATTTTAAAATTTATGAGTGTGTGACTTTATAGACTGAAGGTAAGTTGTAGAATTGGGATACTGATCAAAACTCACCAGACTTTTGTTTTTATATTTATGTAAGTTAGTCATTTCCCTTTAAGTTTTTTAAAACCTGATATTCATATTAATTCACAAAGATTTAAATTTAGTTATAAATTGCTAAATCTTTTTCCAAGCCTTTTCCTTCAGCCTTTTGTTTTTATGTGGATTTTGTAAACAAATACATAGATTTTCTTTTTTAGTCATTCTGAGAGTCTTTTTGTATTTTAATTGATGATTTTAATTTATGTCTGTTCAGTTACTTATACATTGGGTTTATATGTGCTATCTTTGTGGAGCTTTTTGTTGTTGTTGTTGTTGTTTTTAGCTTTTGGTCTTTGTGTTTTAAATTTACCGTGCCTTTTTTATTTGCTTTTCCTCCTCCTCTTCATTGTTCTGTTGGATTAATTGGATTTTCTTCATTCCATTTTTCCTCAGCCAGTTTGTATAGTGTATATTTTAGTTCTATTATTTTAGTTGCTATCCTTAATTTTTTTAATATGTGTCTTTGACTTTAATTTTTTTAACTTGGTAATTAGTAAACATGCCTTGTCAGCCTACTTTTGTTTTTTCCAAGGCTCTCTAAGTGCCTAAAGCACTCATTTTTGTCTTAAAAATGCTTTATTTTGCCCTCATACTTAAATGGTAGTTTAGTTGGGTAGGAAATTGTGGGCTAGTAGTTATTTGTTAAAACAGGATATCATTGTTTTTTAGCCTCTGTTGTTGGTAAGAAGTCTCTGTCCACATGTCCTGTATGTTCCTTGTGGGAGAAACTAAGAGAAGAAGATGTGACCCCCCAGCCCTCTGGTGTATGGGGAAATAAACAGGTTGGCAGTCAATGACTGATCAATAAATACGTACTGAAGGAAAGAAATAAGGAACCTCTACCATAAAAGACTCCAGGGAAAACCATGCCCTCTGAGAAAGAGTATTTGCAATTAATCCAAATAGCAGTAATTTTGAAGAGATTGAAGTCATGGAAGAATTTCTTCAGAGTGGAATGAGCATTACAGAGGGCCTGAGGAAAGGATCAGGAATAGAAAGTCGGGTGAGAGGGATGAGGTAGAAATAGTGAGATAGTATCCAGAGATGTGAGAATTGGATATTGAGAGAAACCTAAATTTTACTAATGGTCAATGATGAGAAAATAAACGTGTATGAGAATTAAGTAACCTTATATTTCCCGTATGAAGTTATTATATAAAGTTGTTTTAATCCCAGCACAAGCTGAAAAACCAGATAGTGTCAGAAGGCTGATAATCTTAGGAACTTCTGACCTTTGTTAAGGATTCTATTTTAATTGTTGATCTACTTCCCTGATTATACTTCCTCCTGATATATTGAGAAGAGCGGTAAAGATGAAGGAACTCGTTCATTCTGGTGCCCCTACGTCTCGAAGGAGACCTACTGTCATGACTAGGAGCATCTGTGCCTTATTTGCTGGAACAAGCAATACTGTGGGAAGGTCTGTCTCTGAAGCCGGCTTTCTGCAGGTGACAGGGAATCATCTCAGGGAATGTTCACCTGGAATGTTGCTGGAATAGCAGTAACTCACAGTGGTTTCATGGGACACTCTGTATACCTTTCCTGCTACTGAATAGTTGAGACCCTACCCTTTTATTAAAGAAGTAGCTTTCATTCATCTATTCATTCTTTTTTTTTCTGGAAATATTTATTGAGAGACTGCTGATGCCAGGCAGTATTCTAGGTGCTGGGGATACAGTGGTGGACACCCGGTCCTATCCCTGCATTCTCAGTGCTTAACCTCTCATGAGGGAGCTACCAATTCTGTTGCTTGGGTGGACAGATCCTACAGAATACTAAGAACTATCCTTTCCCTCTCTTTTCAAATAAATCGTTTAGTGCATAGTTACAATATACCTTGTTTCTGTGTTCTTAACAACCTGTCAAAGGGAGAAGTGAATAAGGTACATTTTATTGATCTTGCCAAATTACCGCCTGTTAACTTTGACTTCAGAAGTATTCCACAGATGTTGAACAAGTGTTTGTGAGCTAATGCAGCTGACTAGTTAGATGGAATGTTGCCTGTCAGAGAGTATGTGGAAGATTGGTTACTTTAGGGAGATAGCTTTAAGAGGATTATCATAATTCTGCCACAGTTGACAGCTTTGAACATGCACTTCCATAGCAAGACTTCAAGTCTTCTGTGATTTATTGAAAAAAAAAAAAAAAAAAACTCTTCTGTACATAGAATCCATGAAGACCACATCTATAAGGATCAAAATATCACGCTTTGAGTGACCGTGAAGTGTTTTAATAGACCTGTGGGACCAGATTAACCAAAAGAATAATCAGTGGATTTTTTAAAAGATTATTATGTTTTAGATATGACAAAATCTTTACCATCAATCTCTTCCCTGTGGATTACTAGTTAGATTATTAGTATCTAATAAAGGCCTTCCATGCAGTTAGACTCTGTTTAGCACTGTGGCATTTTGGAGAGATCTACCGGAAGATTCCACGTGCGCTTGGTACTGTTAGAGACATAATGCATGGTGTTTCTAATATAGTTCAAGAAATTATAAGTAGACATGAAAGGCTATCTGATGATACAAGAGTTCAGTGAATGCCTAGTGTGGGGAAGTACATGGGACAGGCAGGATTCCTGTGAATGAGGAAGAGAGGTGGGATGACATTCTCTGGAGGGCAAGGAGCAGGGGTGAACTAAGAGAGCACTAGACTCAAAGCCAGGTAGCATTTCAGGAGGCAGTAATAGGAAGACAGGTTGAAATCAGTCTGGAGGGTTCTGAGAGTCTGGCTTAGGAATTTGGACATCTTTGTAGTCAGGAAAACGTAACCACAGGACTACGTTTTTCCTATTGTATTCTAAATATATGATTTTGAACCTATTCTGGCAATAGACACATTGGACAATGTATTGCAAATACAATTTCTGTATGTTCTTTCTCCACCATGGGTTCTTCCTTGCAGGAGTTCCTTTCCACTAGAATAAATTAAAGTTATATCAACCAACCCTTCTGACTATTGTTAAAACCTAAGCTATGGCCAATGGTAACTTACTCAGATACAGTGAGAAGTGCTGAATATTAAGTCATTTAGTATATACCATGTTATGTAGCACAGATACAAAATCAAAGACCCAAATGCATAAGGAATTTCTTGGGGCTTGAATATCTCGACACTAATAAAACTTCAAAAACATGGCATTTTGTATGCATTATTTTTCAAATGCAATTTTCAAGAGACTTATTTTTCATTTTGTGATGGTAATATGCAATATTAAAACACTCCAAAAACTAAATTTTCCATATTTGGGTTTTTTTGTTTTTTTTTTTGTTTTTTTTTGATGGCTAGCCAAAAAGGCCTCCAAATTTCGAGACTGGCTGGACTGCAGCAGTATGGAGATAAAACCCAATGTTGTCGCAATGGAAATTTTAGCATATTTAGCATATGAAACTGTGGCACAGGTAAGAATGATAATATCTGTTATAGCAGGCCATACATGACCACTTTTCCTTTTTTTTAAAGATTTTATTTATTTATTTGTCAGAGAGTGAGCAGGGGGAGAGGCAGGCAGAGGGAAAAACAGGCTCCCCGCTGAGCAAGGAGCCCAATGCAGGACTCGATCCCAGAACCCTGGCATCATGACCTGAGCTGAAAGCAGACACTTACGTCCTGAGCCACCCAGGCATCCCTTTTAACCCTATCCATGATCAAAGTTCCCCCACCTGCTACTCCACCGGGAATGAGGACAGCCATGAGTTTTATCCAATGACAGTCTTAAGTTTTCTGGAATTTAGTTCAGTTATGTTTCTTTGTATCCTCAGCCCTAGCGGGTGTTAGCATGAAAGTGACTGTGGCTTGCAACTCAATCCTAACCAGAATTGGAATCCCTGAATACTTTTTCTCAACATTGACTTCTCAATACCCCTCTGCCTTGCTTAGAGATTGTTTTTGAACTTTGAAACATACCTTTCTTGCTACGTACAAACATACCTTTCTTGCTACGTACAATTTACCAAAACCCGAGTCTAGAATCGCTGCTCTCTGACAGCGTCTCAAAGCACAGTCCTCTGACCACAAGCATCAGCTTCTCCTTGCTTCTTGTTGAAAATGTAACCCAGAGCATACCTATCGAATTAGAATCTTGGGGTCTAGAGCACTAAAACCTATATTTTAAAACACTTCACTAGTGGTTATTAATTAAACTTTGAGAAGCCCTCCCCTAGAAAGTCAGAATATATTGTTTATATTCATGGGAAGGTCTGCTTACCAACAAAAGCATATGCTCGTGTCCACAACACAGATTTTTACATGGGCTGTATCATCAGTAACATTTGGAATGTCTTGCTTTTAGTTTTGCCACTTAAGTGATATTGCTAATTGATTATTTCCAGCTCTGTTGACTTTATTTTCATTACTCTGATCTTCTAGTTAGTGGACCTGGCTCTTCTCGTGAGGCAGGACATGGTAACCAAGGCAGGAGACCCCTTCAGCCATGCCATTTCGGCAACGTTCATTCAGTATCACAACTCTGCTGAGGTGAGTAGCAGAAAATCTGTCTTTGATGCTTCTATGGATTTTTCTTGGGTCTGGTGTTTACATTAGTAGTTCTTTGGAAAAGGCAATGTAGGAATGTATAGCCTTCAGTCAGGAGTCTTTTTTTTTTTTTTTTAAAGATTTTATTTATTTATTTGACAGAGAGAGATCGCAAGTAGGCAGAGAGGCAGGCAGAGAGAGAGGAAGGGAAGCAGGCTCCCTGCTGAGCAGAGAACCTGATGCGGGACTCGATCCCAGGACCCTGAGATCATGACCTGAGCCGAAGGCAGCAGCTTAACCCACTGAGCCACCCAGGCGCCCTTTAATCAGGAGTCTTAACATGCTCAACATCCAAACAAATATTTCCTGAGCACCGACGATGTTCCACGCCTTAACAATCCACTTAATACAGTTATTTTTTTTTTCACATATTTCTTACCTTATTTAGCTTCCCTAGCCCTTCAGTAAAAGAGGGATAGTTGGAGAGCACACCTCATTTCCATGGGAGGTGAAAAACTGATTCAGGCAACTGAACAGTGTTGATAATAGGTCTTTATTTCTTTGTACCTCAAAGACAAGAGAATCATTATTATTCATGTCCTAATAACTCCTGACATTTACTCATCATTTTTTTTCCCAGTTATTGATCCATCTCCAAACATGGTTTAAAAAAGCATGGCTCCATTTATTCTCTGTGCCCATACTGGCTCTATCATGTGAGGGTCACATTCTTTCTGATCCCATTTATGTTACTGGGACCTCCACCAGGGGGTGGGGGGCAATAAAGTCGTCTTGCCAACTTTAAGGGATTATGCAATAACTGTGTACCACTTGTAGTATGAGCTTGTCTGTGAGCTGCATGTGCCTACAAACTAGAAATTTAGTACACCTGTTGAATGAATTTGCTGATATTTGACTCTTTTTCCTGGCTGAAACACCAATTTCATGTAATTTTATCTAATAACCAGAGAGAAGGCAGCAAGAAGGTTAGCTTGACATCTCCATGTGTAATTGTCAGGTGAGCTTTAGATCAAGCTGGGTAAAATGTATAACCTGAAAATGTCTAAGCCCCTTTGAGAAGCTGACCAAAACTATAAATCATGTCTCATAAGCACATTCACAAATTTTGCATACAATTTCAGGATGTTGGGGTGCCTGGGTGGCTCAGTGGGTTTAAGCCTCTGCCTTCGACTCATGTCATAATCCCAGGGTCCTGGGATCAAGTCCCGCATCGGGCTCCCTGCTCAATGGGGAGCCTGCTTCCCCTTCTCTCTCTGCCTACCTCTCTGCCTACTTGTGATCTCTGTCTGTCAAATAAATAAATAAAATCTTTTAAAAAAAAAATTTTCAGGATGTTCAGAGGCCCTCTGAAATCATTCTCTGGATCTAAGCAGTCTGGGATGGACCCCAAATTTAAGTACCTCTGCTCTAGGATACTTAGAAAATATATAAAGATATAAACCAATATATTTTATTTCAAGCCAAAAGTTTGACATCTTTTTGTGCCCCCTTGGAGAATCAGATTGGCTTGGAACCCAAGTAGAAATTAAAATGTTTATGCCCATTAAAATCCATTTTTTTTTCCTAGAAAAGATCATACATCATTATCAGTCATCATGCTTTATAAGTCCCTAAAGCTTTACCCAGTTGATTAAACACTTTGTTTTCTTTATGTTACAAACCCAAATTACGATGTCAAAGAAGACCCTTTAAAAATATCTTTGGTACATGTTCACCCTATGAATATGTGTATAAGTATGCTTTTCATTAACATCAGACAAATTTGTTGTAACATTTCTAATTGAAGAAATTTACAGTGAACATAACAAGCCTAGTTTTCCCTTAACATTCAAGGAATTGCTTGCATGGCTAGGAAAACTCTTTATTCCCCTCCTTTCTTGGTTCTCCAGGGTGGCCAAGCTGCCCTGGGCAACTGCTCAGCAACCACAGCTGCAGCTCCCAGCTCCCCAGCAGTTAAGAAAAATGGCCTGTGTGTGCTGGGTTTCCCGGGCTCTCTGGGAGGCGGGACAGGAGTGTCGGAAAGCATCCCGACGAAATATGTTAGCAAAGCCGCAAGCGTTTCCCTGGCCTTCCAGATACCCCTCCTCCTATGCGACTGGTGGTCAAAATGAACATTCAGAGGGACTGGAAATCTTCCTGCCCTTTACTACCTGACAAAACATGGAATAGCCACTGTAAAGTAAAGGATTCTTTCTAATTGACATTACAAACCAGCAACCAATGTCAAGGGCCCTTTTTAAGGGCCTTACCAAATTGGGTACAAACGGGGGACTCCAAAGACTGGTGTGATCTATATTCAGGGAGATAGAACATTCTGGAAAACAAGGAAATAAAGAACAAGCAAAAAGATAGACAATTCAAGATTACTTATATGCTAATTTCCAAATGAGTGGTATAGACCAGAAGTGCAGAGGTAAAAACAAGCCCCGACAGCAAAGAACTTGAGTAAGGACGCTGGCATTGAAGGAAGCTGGGACTTTGATGAGATGGTAAAAGTGGAGAGAATGCTCTAGGCTTCAGAGGCAGCATAGGCATAGCTGTACAAAGGAGAAGCAAAACTCTGATTTAAATATTCAAGCAAAGGATTCGTTGAGGAGGAGGAGGCAGTCAGATTAGAAAATTGAGCCTTAGGCTCTTAAGGAGCCTAAGAAGAGTTGAAGATTTCTTGGCCTCTAAAGGTTGATGAGTTCAAATGTTTTAGAAGATCCAAAGGAAGGTGCTATGTACAATGGATTTGGAATCAGGAGCTCTCAAGACATGGAGCTAATACACAATACATTCTCTTTCAATGACTGTCGTTTTTGAGTGCTAAACATATGAGAAACCAAGCTAGTTAAGCTTGGGTTCTCAGATTAGCAGGTATAATATTAATTAAAGGTAATTTTTGTTAAAGATTTATATGTTTATTTGAGAGAGAGAAAGAGTGAGAACACATGGTGGTGAGGGTGCAGATGAAAAGGGAAAGAGAGAATCCCAAGCAGACTCCACACTAGGCATGGAGCCTGACACAGGGCTCAATCCCAGGACCCTGAGATCACTATGTGAGCCAAAACCAAGAGTCAGATGCTTAATCGACTACCATCACCCAGGCGCCCCAACTGGAGTTAATTAAAAAAAAAGTTTTTTTCTAATATATGGTTTATGCATAGGAATCGTGATCTGTAGGAATTATCTTGTTTTTTCTAAAAATAATCCATGCCATTTTGGCTTATTTCTTCTTTTTAACAATGTTCCTAGGCAGGACAATCAAAGCAATACTTTTTTGCTTTAAAAAACATTTTATTTTAAAATAATTTTTAGATTTACAGAGCCATTGCAGAGATACTACAGAGTTTCAATATGTTCTTTATCAGCTTCCCTTAAACATGTTCACTTTTAACTTTAAATAAATAATACAGTTCCCAAAAGAACAACATACAGATATACTTTTGAAACCAATATGTGCATTTCAGCCAAATATTTTACAAAGTTTAGCATAGTTTTTTTTTAAATACAAATACATCATAGAGAAGTGTAGGCCAGCAGGTAGTATGGTTTAGTATAGTTGGTAGGATAAGGAAAATGCCGATTAGTAATACCATATATGAAAAAGATTGACAGACTTTTATTGGCCTGTAAATTCCTTAGGAGCCAATATTGTGATGTTACTAATAAGAAAAAGGTTTTTTTTTTTTTTTTTTTTGTCTTATTTGGTGTTTAGGCACCATCCTAGAGGATGGACATTGACACAATAGAGAATGTCCAAAGGAGAGTGATTAGAGGGTGAAGAAACCTGAAAACATGTCTCATAAGAAGTGGTTGAAGGAATTTGAGGCAGCTTGACCTATAAAAGAAATGAGGCTGAGAAAGATCGCAGTCCTCAAATATTTGAAGTGCATCCACATGGAGGAGAACAGACTTGTAGTCGTAGCCAAAGAAACCAGGTAGAAACGAGGGCTATTCCAAAAGAAGGAAGGAACTAGAAATGGAAGGAGCTGGAGGTATCCACAGTGAACCCCAGGCATTGAGTTGGAGTCACTACAGAAGGCTGGTCACAATGATGCAAATACTGTCTGGATGGCATCCAGTCTGCTGGGGAATGCAGAGGTGCCTTTTGAGACCTGTAAATCTGACGCGCTAACAAAACTTGCAAGTAGAAATCTCTGTATCTGACAAAATTGGCAGAAATTTTGGAGGCTGCCTCTGAGAAATCCTGATTTTATCTTAATGACAGCCAGATTAAAAATTAACGTATCTAAACCGATAGGGGTAAGATGAGGCATCATTTCTATGGACTGGATAATGAACTGAGTTTCGATATTTGTAAGCTTCAAGAACTATTGAGTTCAGGAGATCTCGAACATAATTGAATGTTAGTAGAAGTCCCAGTCCCTTGATTTCAAAGACACGTCTCTTTGGGCAGGGGTCTTGCATGAAGTCCTTCCCAGAGTCTCCTGAGAACACACCTCCTCCCACACCGACTGCCCCCTCGTCTGGATCACAGCACTCAGGGAAAACCACATCGGGGTCCCTCGGGAATGGGAGTGCTGGGCAAGACTCAACTAAAACCAAGCAAAGGAAAAGAAAAAAGGTCAGTGATAAGTTTTATCTTGTTTTGGTTTTCTTTTTTTTGTTTTCCTGGTGCAGAATGGATGAAGTTGGGTGTGCTTCAGAGGTATAAAAAGTCTGCTCCGTTTTTCTCATAATTCAAATTTTTAGGAACAGCCAGTTTGTGCTTAACCATACTTAATGACTTCTACTCCAACTCTTTTAACAGCTTTCTTCTGGATAAAGCAAGATACTGATTTTTTTTCAACATTTTACTATAAAAATTTTCAAACATACAAAAATAATAAGAAAATTATAGACTTAATACCATAGATCTTCCATCTAGATTCTGCAGTGAACATTGTACTACATTTGCTGTATTATCTACATATTTATGTATTTACATTCATTATATCGGCACATCTAATTTATTCTTTTGTCCATCTGTCAAGTCATCTTTTTTTTTTTTTGCTATATTGCAAAGTAAGCTACAGATATTAGTATACTTCTTGGCTTAATACTTCATTATGTATAATTTTTATGTTTTTTTAAGGTAAAATTTATACACAGTGAACCATTCAGTTACCATTTGATGAGTATTGACAAGCCTATAAACAAGCCTATAAACCTATTGTTTTCTCAGTCCTCAAGACATAAAACATTATCATCAGTTTAGAAAGTTCCTGCTGCCACCGAGAGGCAATCATTGTCCTGATTTTTTCATCATAGATTAGTTTTTTCTGTCCTAGAAATCATATAAAGAAGATGCAGTATATACTCTTTTGAGTGAAATTTTTTTACTCAGGATGTTTTTGAAATTTGTTTTTTAGTAGAAGTGTAATTTATTCCTCTTTATGGCTGAGTAATGTGCCATTGTATGAATACCTCAACATATATATTCTCATTTTGGTGGACACCTAGGCTGTTTCCAGTTTTTGAGGTATTAGGAGTAAATCTGTCATGAGCATTATTGTACAAGTCTTCATGGGCAAATGCCTTCATTTTTCTTAGGTAAATAGCTAGGAATGAAATTACTGAGTCATAGAGTGTATATGTGTTTGGTTTTTAAAGAAATTCTAAGACCTTTTTTTTTTTTCCCCCCAAAAAATGGATGTGTCATTTTATACTTCTACTCACTGTATGTGAGGTTCCAGTTGTTTCACATGTTCATCAACTCCTGGTGTTATCATTGTTTTTATTTTTAACCATTCTAATGGATATTTAATGGTGACTCATTACACTTTGAGTTTGCATTTCCTTGAAATTTAATGAATTTATTGACATGGCTAGATATAGTTCAACTATTTTGCTATTTGTTTTCTGCTTAGTCTATTTTTGATCCTCAGTTTGTCTTTCTTGTCTTATTTTGGATTGTTTACTATTCAAGAAATTCATTTTAATTCATCTACTAAATTCTTAGTGATACCTCTTTGCATCATTTTTTCAGTGGTTATGCTAAGGATTACAGTATATCCTTAAATTTTCAGTGTACTTGCAGTTACTGCACTACTTACATAAAATGTGAGACACTTACATTTATAAGACTGATGTACTTTACTCTTGTCCTTCCTTTATGCTACAGTCATTATATATCTTACATTTTCGTATGTTATAAACCATAATATTATTTGTGTCTTAAAGAATCAAATGTATCTCAATGAAACTAAGAGAAAAAATAGACTAACTTTACCATCCCCACTGTTCTTCATTTCTCTCTCTCTCTCCCACTCTTTCTCTCTCTCTCTGATTCTCTCTCTCTCTCTCTCTCTCTCTCTTTCTCTCCTTTTTATTCTCAAACTGCCTTCTGGTATTACTTTCCTATTTTGCTCTACTAAATTTTATTTTAGGATTTGTTATGGTGCATGTTGGCTGGTGATGGTTTCTCTTAGCTTTCATATTTCTGAAAATATCCTTTTCTTTCATTTTTAGAAGATATTTTCACAGGACATAGAATTCTGGGTTGGTAGTTTTAATTTTAGTACTTTAATGATATCATTCTACTGTTTTCTGGCATCCATTGTTTTAATCATATGTCAGTAGTTTGTATTATTGTTTCTGTGTTTGTAATGTGTTATTTTTCTCTGGATGCTTTCAGGATTGTATCTTTATTTTTGCTTTTCAGGAGTTTGACCATGCTATCCACAGACATGATTTTCTTTGTATTTGTCCTACTTAGGGTTCATTGAGCTTCTTGAATATTGGTTTATGACTTTAACCGCTTGGGGGAAATATTCAACAATTACTTCTTCAGATATTTTTTTCTGCTTCATTCACTGTCTCTCCTCCACTTCAGAGACTTCAAGGCTTATTTGTTATTTACTTGGATATTGTTCCACAGGTACTTACTTAATTTCTCTTTCAATCTTTTCTCTCAGTTCTTCAGGTTGGATAAATTCTATTAATATTTCTTTATGTTCCAGACTCCTCTGTTAGCTCCAGTCTGTTTCACGTCCAATAATTTTTTCCTTTGTGATATTTTATTTTATACTTTCATAATTTCCACTTGAATTCTTTTTAGTTTTTATTTATCTGGTTTTTTTATTTCTCATTTATTACAGGTTTATTTTCCTTGATCTTCTTGAGCACAGTTATAATAGCTACTTTAAAATCCTTCTTTGTGGCTCAGTCAGTTGAATGTCTGCCTTTGGCTCAGTCATGATCCTAGGGTCCCAGGATGAAGTCCATATCACGCTCCCCACTTGGCGGGGAGTCTGTTTCTCCCTCCGACCCTCCCCCTTCTCGTGCTCACTGTCTCTCTCTCTTTCTCTTTCAAATAAATAAATAAAAATCCTAAAATAAAATAAAACCCTTCTTTGATCAATTAATATGTGGATTATTTTAGTCTTCATTGAGTATAAGTCACTCTTTCTTTGAGACTTCGTTAGGCTCAGTGGAGACCAAAATAATGCCTCCTCTCTTGGTCCGTTCTTGCATATCTAGTAGTTTTGAATTCTATCTTGGACATCACAGGTAATATATGGTAGAGATTTTTTGTTCTGTTCTATTCCTTTGAAGAATTGTTGGTGTTAATAGTGGTGGTAATGTGGGCATGTCTGTTAAACGTGCAGTTTACTATTCTACAATCAACTCTAAATTTCAAACCCAAATTCCTCTTCATTGACAGCAGCTTAGAATCTCTCCTCAGTTCATTTAGCTTTAACTGGTTCTTGAATTCATTATCACAGAGAAATAGATTTGGGTAAAGTTTGTATGGTGAATTTGGGGTTTTCCTTCTTTGATTTTGCCTTTTTTTGGTATTTCCTTCCTCACTTTATACCTACTGTGCATGCCCTGACCGCTGGCATAGATCTCTTAGAGTCTCTAAGGCTGTGTGCCTCCTATCCTGACTGGGGCCTGCCCGTATGCTAAAAGAGTAAAAACGGGAAACTCAAGCCACTGCCATTCTCTTCTTGTAAATATAGGCATTCCCCTTTCCAGTTTCTGCCTGGTTTTGATCAATCTCTATCACTTTCATGTTCTTGTTTTTTATAATTTGTCTAACGTGATACTTTTTATCTAAAACTCAGTTGCTACAATAAGAACCATTTGCCATTACAAGTAGTGGAGCCATATCAAGATATAATTTTAAAATGATAGTAAGCACATTTAAGTTTAGCCTCATATCTGGTTTCCTCTTCCATTTACAAAACAACAGAGCTCAGTGCTTATTTACTAAGGGGAAATTTGAACTATAAGGAACTTATGCATATTGTAAAGTAGCTTTAGAGAATGTTGGCTATGGTGCTTCAGCTTACTTAGTAACTAAAACTAGGGTAACAAAGTGTTACCTAAAAGACCTCTTTGGTGGACTGAAGTTTATGTAAGAAGTATGTAAGAAGAAGTTGTAATTAACCTGATATAATCGTACATTTGTATAGAAAAATTTCAAGAATTCTCAAAGACATATAAAGAAGTATTTTTTCTCCTAAATATTTAAACATTTCTTTCCTAATCTTGTTGAAAGCTATTGCATTAATCCGTGACATCAGAATAATGTCCCACTTTAAAGCTATTAATTATTTCTCCATTCACCCACATCTTTCTACATTCAGATTCTTGCTGTGTTTTCATTTTTACTCCTTGGAAACTTCCACTATGGTGGTAACATGGTATGATTCATTCCACACGAAATAAGAAAGCCTCTATATAACAACTGTGTGTCCTAGAAGCCAAGAAATCTGATGGATAGCCATATTCTGATAGTGTCACTATAATCTTGAGCAAGTCCTTTATCTTTACTTTCTCATCTATAAAATGGGGTGGGACTTGGAAACGTTTAGAATGGATGATATCTTACATTCCTTCCAGATTTAGTAATGTACGAATCCTTAAAATTAGTGATTCTCTTGTCTTCTCCTTAAGTACTTTTTCTAGTTTTAATTTTCTTAAAGAAAAGTTTTCTAGTTATATAGAACTATAGTTTTATTTATTTATTTATTTTTTTTTTTTTAAGATTTTATTTATTTATTTGACAGAGAGAGATCACAAATAGACGGAGAGGCAGGCAGAGAGAGAGAGAGAGGGAAGCAGGCTCCCTGCTGAGCAGAGAGCCCAATGCGGGACTCGATCCCAGGACTCTGAGATCATGACCTGAGCTGAAGGCAGCAGCTCAACCCACTGAGCCACCCAGGTGCCCTAGAACTATAGTTTTAACAATTAACATCTCAATTAAAGTTTGAAATGAGAAAATTAACTATTAAAATTAAATTAATTAAATTAAAATTAAATTTAACTGTTAAATTAAATTAATTTAATTAAAATTAAAATTAACTATACTAAATATTGTAACCTTTGGCCAAAGAATGGCCCACCTTCATCCAAAAAGACATCCTCCATAAACATAAAACTCTGGGAAAGCTATGTGTACAACAGTGAATAGAAGGAAGTCACTTGCCTTGCCAGTCAGATTATATATCAGCCTTTGTGGTCAATGAGTAGTAAAATTATTAGTAATAGTAGTTTAACTTTTCATTTGTTCTGATCTGAGATATGTGTTACTCTGTAAGAACGAATGTTTCAAGTTTAACGAAAGATCTAGCCCACCGTTATGTGGAAAGAGTAAGTGGCAATTATCTGAGATTCCAAGTCTTTCTTAAATTTGGATTTCCCTGGCAAGAGAAAAGCTGAGAAAGGACAGGACGATTTAACTTGGCAACAATTTTTTTAAAAAGTCAGGACAGGTACAGGCATGTGTAAGAGATCCAGCAGCGACAGAAGTTTCAATATAGCTTCCTTGGACCACATTTGATTTACCAATTCATCTTTCCCATTCTGAGTGTGCCAACACTTTATGATATCTTTATGTTTAAATTTTCAAAAATGAAACCTATTTGACAAAATACTGAGTCCTGTTGTCTGAAGAGTGCTGAAATCTCTGCCAAAATAGACTATTTCCTTGAGCAAAGTGCAGGCTGCCTGGTAAAGTTCTTCCTCAGATGTCAGGTCCTCTTCCTCTCGCCTGCATTCATACTCTGTTCTTGCTTTCTTCCACTTTATGTATGTCTCTTCGTCCAAAAGCTGATGCTTGGTACAGGAAGGTGAAGTATCTTATGGAATCCTCCATATTCCTGGATTTGAGCACCATGGCTCTACTTATCCTTGCTGGCTGATGCCAAGTAAAATGTCTCAGTAGTTTGAACTCTCAGCTGTGGTCCAAGAAAGCTCTATTGAAACTTCTGTATGAAATGCTAGAGTTGCTGCTAAGTTAAAATTCTCAACCTGGTATGAATTTTGGATTTGAATGGATTAAAAGTACCTTGGTGAAGGCCTGAATGTTGGCAGAAATATGAAGAGATAGGTTGAGGTGGCAGCAACACTGGAAATACATCATTTCGGATTTAAGAGTTCCCTTCAAAGAACTCTGGGCAAATCAAGAAAGTGTAGGAGTGTGTATGGTAACTGCATGCTATTTACAGTTACTTAATTCTAGCAAATAAACCTGAAATTAGCAAAATAGAAAATCTAACGTTTTTCACAAAATTGGATATTTCCATTTTTATGTTAGCTTCACCTTTTTGTCAAAGAGCACAATTCAGCTATAAACTTCTAGCTTATGCTTCCTTCCATGTTCTGAAATCCTATTTGATTACCATGCCAGAGACTCTGAGAGATTTTGACCTAAATGTTCTATGGTTTTGACAAAAACCAAATTCATTGGGGAAAGTAAGGAAGAGGAGAATCTTACACTGACCGTGGAGGAAAGAAATAAAAAACAAACCTAAGTTGCAAGGATAAAGGAGATGCCACAGAGGAACTTCCCACCCAACATAATATGCAGGATGCTGACCCTCTTGACACCTCTCTTCTGTATTTCCATTGGGAAACTTAACTCTAGATCCAGCTAAATATTTGCATTCATTTCCACAAATGGATAGAATGCCTCAACCATTAATGAGTCTCTATTAGTCCTATTTATCTTTTGAGGTCAAATGAACACAGAGAAGAGCCTGTGCCTTTATCGGGTACCTGATAATTGCATTTCCAACTGACACAAAGTACTTGGAATAAGAACCAAGAAAGCACTCAAAAAAAAAAAAAAAAATCCTGTGTACTTTTGTATCAGTGCCAAATGAAGGGTTAAGTTAACAATTTGTGTTGTTGTGGGCATTGCAGATCTATTATTAGGGTATTGTTGGAATGAAATTGAGAAAGATATTCTAAAGTAAATTCCTGTTGGAATGAAATTGAGAAAGATATTCTAAAGTAAATTCCTATTTGACTTCTTTCAGTATCTTGTTAAAATAATAAAAATAATCAAGATCTGCTTTGTTTTATATTTCACATCTTATTTCAGGTTCAGCTTGGATAATTAGCCAATGCTCTCATTTAATCAGAATTTTCAAATTTTATTACTAGTTATAGGAAAAGCATGCACAAGGTACAGAAAACACATTTGAAAAGTACAGAAGGATATATAGTGAAAAATGTCTCTTCTAATCCATGTCCTTTAAACACCCAGTTAGACTCCAAGAGATAAGGTATTACTATTCCTGATTTTTAGTATACCCTTACAAAAAATAGTCTATGTTTGAATAATTATGTAGTGTTCAGCCTTTTTAAAAAATCAGTGGTAACATAGTACCACTCAGTAGGACACCTTGCATTTTTTCACACCATACATCGTAGAGATAGTTACATTGGAGTATATATGGAACTCCCTTGTTCTTTTTGGTACTTACTATAGTTTCTGTTTCATTAAATGGATATACCATAATTTATTTTAGTGTTCTCTCATTGATGAACATTTAGTTTATCAATCCTAAGTGTATATATACAGTGAGTTCTGCAGTGAGTGTGTGTGTGTGTGTGTGTGTGTGTGTGAGAGACTCTGATAGATATATAGATATAGATCTATAGGTATATAAAATTTTATAACTGTGTAATATATCTGTAGGATAAATTCTTAGATGTGAAATTGTGTCAAAATGGTTGTACATTTTCACTTGATAAGATTTTGCCAAATTACTATCCATAAAGGTCCTATTAGTTATACTCCTACAAGGAATTATGAAATTGGTAATTGTAGTAATTATCAGAAAAACAAGTAATGATTATGTGACCATGACTGACTTCTAGAATACAGTTAGAGTTATACACACACTACTATTTCTTTCTCTTGATTCTGTAATGTTAATGACTGGCATCTGCCATCCATTGCAGTAGAAAACAACTATAATTATTATCCCCATTTTACAGTTGAGGAAACCGAAGTGCAGAGATATTATATAACCTGACAGAACTGGTAACGGATAGGCTCTGGATCAGGTATTTGGGAAACCAGAGCCTGCAAGTGAGCCATGAGACTATCTTGTTCCTATTGAGGTTTTAAATTTTTTTTAATTGAAATTCAATTAGCCAAGGTATAGTACACCATTAATTTTTGGTACAATGTTGAGCGATTCATTACTCCAGCGATTCATTACTCCACACTGATTCATTACTCCAAGTACTCCATTACTTCATGTTAACCCAGTCTCATCATATTTAAATCGTATTACATACATTTCTTAAGCTGGTATCCATACTGTCTTTGCAAATAGTCCTTTTCTTCCATGTGTCTTTTTATACTTTCAAACCTGCCTTTTACACGTGAGGCAGATTAAAATAGAAAGGTTTTGTTTTATTTTATTTTTGCCCTGAGGACACCTAGAAAATTAGAAACCAAGTTAAAATGATTGTCTGTGACAGCTCCAGTATTATAAATAAATATATAGCAATTTCATATTTTTCATTTTAAAACTGATGACCCTCAAGTTATTTCAGAAATATTCCCAACAAGCTCCCAAGAAACATTTATAATAATAAATGTTTAAGTGTTTTTTTAAAAAAAAACAGCTTCCTGCAGTTCTGTCAGCACTCCCCCATGACAATTCTCATCTGCACATGAGTGGCTCTATTCTCCTGGACCTTGACGTGCGGGCCTAGGTGAAATATTGTGGGCATAAAAATTGCATTTGGTAGGTCTGCTACGAAGGGGTCACGTCAAAGTCATCTTTGATTTGTTAACGCAATCTTTTTTTAAACGTTTTGTACGGCAGCAGGAACGTGCATCCTGGAGTGGGGGGGGGCGGAGGAGAACATCCATTTTATAAAAGTTTATTTTCATATTTTACACACTGTAGTTCTGTTGTGTGTTTTTGATTTAGTAACAATTTATGTGTTTTTCTGTCACAGAGCACCGCGGCCTGTGGTGTTGAGGCTCACAGCGATGCCATCCAGCCCTGCCACATCAGAGAGGCCGTTCGACGCTATGGCCACAAGATTGGCCCCCTTTCCCCATTCACAGTACGTAATAACAGAGTTATAAAAAGTTATATTTATAATCTGAAAGAATTTTGATTTTCAAGTGGTCAAATGAAGAAGCAATGGAATTGTTGAAAGCAATTTGTGGTGGCTGTAATTTTGTTGTATAAAAGTGGCATAATTCTCTTGGGAAATAAAAGTTAGTCATTTTTGTCTCTTTTTGGAAGGACGAATTTTTTTTTCTACAAAATATTATTTTCTTTCAATTACAAATTATGCTTTTTTTTTGCTGGGGCTTATATTTTCTGTTTTTCAAAGCTTAGGTTTATAAAACTTTTTTGTCAAATTATATGTCTCCAAATATTGCTAGAAGCACTTTATATTTTAAAATCGGTTAGATTGGCAATACCACTTCTATCAGATGTTCTGCTCCTAAACCTACTCTGAGTTGGAAGAAGAAGAAATGATTTTGTCACTGGCTTTGAAGTAGGCTGAAATGCAGATACTCTTTCATATCTTCAGATGGTTTTAAAGCTTATAATCAGGGTTTATTGTTGTTGTTGTTGTTTTAATGGAGAATTAAAGACTTTATATTTTAATAGCCTAAGGAAAGTGTGTGTGTATGTTCATGCACGTGTGTGTGTGTTTTAATTAAGTGCTCTTGTGGCCCTTTTTAAAAAAACCTTTATTCATGTTAATAGAACTTTCTTCAAGTCTTTGTTTATGAGGCATTGGTTTGATTTTCAGAAAGTGAGGTTGGATTTAAGACTGAGTAACAGTAGAATTTATTGTCGGTTTGCTTTCTTCTTATTCACTTCTGCTTTTCTACACCAAAGCAGAGTATATACATATAACAATATATATGTATATACACATACATGCATACGTAAGTGTAACAGAGTGTATGTTTTCTTCTGAGAGAGAAATTTTCTCCTGGATTTTACTGTGACCTGTTGATAGAAATCTTGATTTCTTCTTCATTAGATCATCTGTTTTTCCCATTTTTTAGTTAAAGGGAATGCTTTTTTTCCATTCTTTATTGTCATTAGTTAATTGTATGGATTCTCATTGTTACAGCAAGCATGTATCAGAAGCCTTTTGTGTATGTCTTCAGAAGCTTTTTGTAATGATAAGTATTATTTTCACTTTTGTTTAGTATTAAGAATCTGTCTTCTATCTTATGAGAACATGATTTCAATACTGCTGATGAAAGCACTATATCCTTCTGCATGCGTGTTTTTAGATGATTACAATTGAAAGGGCAGAATGAAATCAAGCATCTCTTGTTTTATTTTTTTCTCCATGATAGGTGAGACTACTTTTAGTGATGAGTCAAAAGAAAGATGAAATTTACAAAATAGGAGATGATTGATAGCATTTAAAAACAGCTGTCTTCTGACAAAGGATTAAACATATCAAGTCCACATTTAAGAGCCAACTAATAATAATAACTAAAAGGTTGAGGCATTGGAGTGGAGAGAGAAGGAAAAAAAGGTAGTGTTGATGTAGAGAGTAGAAGTAGAAGTAGAGAGTATCAAGGGGAAGCTGGTGTTTTGAGAAAAAACCTAAAATGGTAACTAAAATAATGGATAAAATTATATAACAGAACATGTATCTAATATAAGGAGAAAATCTTCCATTCATAAGGTCTTTGGTATTTCCTCAAAAGGAGGTGATGGTGGCTCATTCATTCTTCCACGTTTTTTATACTTAACTACACTGGATGGATCACTTAACCATCTTGGTTGAATGCCATTGTGTGTGTGTGTGTGTGTGTGTGTGTGTGTGTGTGTGTGTATACACGTACTCATTCCCTCATGTCTAACTGGTACCCTGTTACCCGTGCAAGGTTACTTTGCTAATCTAAAATTGTGGCATATGGTCAGAAAATGTACTTTAAACTAGTTCAGATACAACTTAAGCTAATTTTTATCTAATAAGCATATAACCAATATGATTTTTAAGTTAATGATACAATTTTTAAATGCTTAATTTAAATAGATCTGGAAAAATAGAACCACTACCAGAACACAGGAAGTGGTTAAAAAAATCATCAGAGAGGGGCACCTGCATGTTTATCATCCCCTGGAAAGGACCCAGCTTGAGAGGTCTGCTTCATTACCTTGGGCCGTACTAATTTGTCCAGGCTACAGGACTGAATGTGCTTACTCTACTTTATATCATGATTAATATGATCAGGGAAATACAGTTTCATGGTATACATTACAGTACATAAATCTGCCCTTTATTTTTATTGAAGTATTGTTGACACACATAAGCTTGAGGCATACAGCATAGTGATTCCACCTCCCTATATATCACGCTCTGCTCACCACAAGTGTAGCTACCATCTGTCACCGTGTGACACTATTATAATATCATTGACTATATTCCTCATGGTGTACCTCTCATAAATCTGCCTTTTAAATTAGTTAAAAATTCACTTTAAACTGGGAGAGATTTTATCATACCTAGACTGAGTATCTGTATCCGCCATGGCTCCCACATACCTTCAACTTTCTCAAAGGAGTTGCTTCTGTTGTTGGGGGATGCTCATGTCCCATTCCCTGATGCCCACTCCCAGAGATAATACTTCATGCTGCACTAGGAACTCTTTGCTACCTGGGCTTTGAGCTGCAGCTTGTAAGAAGAGAGGAGGCATATTGACTGCCTCTATAGTAACCCTAGGTTGAGCCCTAAATTTTCATACAGCAAGGCTGAGCTCAGTTACCTCCAGCATAACACTTCCTGTGTAAACTAAAATGCTCATGAACAACTCATTTATGTATATGAAACATAGAGATTGTCTATGCTCCTTGTCATTCCAAATCTGAAGTGCTTGTCTGGTGTAGATATATATGTGATATCTAATTTAGAATATCCAAACTTGGTTTGTATGTAGGAATTCCCAGTAATTAGAAATTGATTTAGAGAATTAAAGTAACAACCAATAGGTTACACAGAAATTTAATTCCAATTTCAACAAAAGAGCAGTAAAAATCTGCTTTTAGTGAGTCATCATCCTGTCTTCCACCATATTATGACTGTTGATATAATTTTGTACAAAATCCCAACTTGATCAATTTCAGAACTGCAGTTCACTGCATAAAGAATTATGAGTTCTTCACCTTGGTTATTAGTTGGAATGAGAGAAGAAAAGAATGATTGAAGCCCTGTTAGGTGGAGGGGAGGAAGAAGAGGTGCTGGCATGGAGAGAAAAGGGGCGGAGAGCCGAAACAGCCTGGCTGTGAGGACGTGCGTGTGGTGGAGACACTTGTAAACCACTATCTCTACTCACCCTGTTAGAGCAGTACTGTGTTTAGCTTATTGGTTTTAGTTGGTGATTGCTTCCGGGTTTTTTAATTAATTAATTATTTTTTTTACTAACATATAATGTATTGTTTCGGGGGTAGAGGTCTGTGGTTCATCAGTCTTCCACAATTCACAGTGCTGGTGACTGCTTTCTTTTTACCCTGTTCTCATTCATTCTCAATCCTATGCAGAAGATCAGAGAAAATATCATACCTAAAGGATTGAAATAATTTTTCTGACATTAAGCTATTAATTAGACAAACTGATGGAACCAAGGCTAAAACTCCCAGCTCCAGAATCTGCTCCCTCAATACATTTTTCCAGCTGTCCCCACCCCAAAATACCTGACTTTCTGTGTACACATAGGAAAGAACAGTTTTAAAAACTAATCTTACTTTTTGCCTATTTTTCCTATAACTCTGAAAATCACGTCAGAAAGTGTGATTTGTAGTTGTTACTTTACAGTATGTATGCATCCTCAGATGTCCTAAGTGACTTTGATGCTCCTCATCTTATGTTGTCCTTGCACTCAGAGTAGCTGGTATTTACAGAAGTTATATCGTGTAGTGATTGGCTGCTGATCCTAGAGCCGAATGACCATGGTTTAGATCCCACCTCTGCCACCTGCTAGCTAAGTAGCATTAAGGAAGTTTCTTAAGCTCTCTATGGTTCAGTTTCATCTGTAAAACAGATGTAATAATAGAACATATGATAGAATTTAAGGAGTACTCTGAACTTGATGTGCGATAAGCTCTTTTTGCTTGTTTTTGTTTCAAACTTTTATTTAAATTCTAGTTAGTTAACACATAGTGTAATACTGGTTTTAGGAATAGAATTTAGTGATATATCACTTACATACAACACCCAGTGCTCATCCCAACAAGTGCCCTCCTTAATTCCCATCACCCACGTAACCCATCACCCATTTAACCCATCCCCCTGCCCTCCAGCAGCCCTGTTTGTTCTCTATCATTAACAGTCTATTTCCTGGTTTGCCTCTCCTTTTCTTCCTCCCCCACCCCTGCCATGTTCATCTGTTTTGTTTCCTAAATTCTATCCATGAGTGGAATTACATGATAATTGTCCTATTTGTCTTTCTCTGACTGACTTGGTTCACTTAGGATAATACACTCTAGTGCTATGCAAGTTGTTGCAAATTGTCAGATTCTGAGGGGTTTTGATGGCTGCATAATACTCCATTGTGTGTGTGTGTGTGTGTGTGTGTGTGTGTGTACCACATCTTTATCCATTTATCAGTTGATGAATATTTGGGCTTTTTTCATAATTTGGCTGTTACTGGTGATGTAAACATCATGGTGCATGTGTCCGTTGGAATCAGTATTTTTGTATTTTGGGTAAATACCTAGTAGTGCAACTGCTGTGTCATAGGGGGGTAGCTCTATTTTTAACTTTTTGAGGAATCTCCATAACGTTTTCCAGAGTGGCTGCACCAGTTTGCATTCCCACCATCAGTGTAAGAAGGTTCCTCTTTCTCTTCATCCTTGCCAACATCTGCTGTTTCCTGTGGTGTTGATTTTAGCCATTCTGACCTGTATGAGGTGGTATCTCATTGAGGTTTTGATTTGTATTTCCCTAATGATGAGTGATGTTGAGCATCTTTTCATGTGTCTGTTGGCCATCTGGATATCTTCTTTGGAAAAATGTCTGTTCATGTCTTCTGCCCATTTCTTACCTGGATAATATGTTGTTTGGGTGACATGTGGTAAGCT